CATTATATTAACACTTTCCTGTTTTTCTTTTTAACATTTTTTAGTTGCCAATGGAATTTTTATTCTATTTGTTTATTTATATGTGGTGCTGAGGATCAAACCCAGGACCTCACACATGCTAGGCAAGTCCTCTGCTGCTGAGCCACAACCCAAGCCCCATTATTTACCATTTTAATCTATTAATTTGATTTATATATAGGCCCACTTGATTAAGTCCAAAAAATGGACCTTATCCTTACCATCTCTATATTTACTTAAAAGCACAGATTTTAAATAGTATAACCATTGGTAAAATTAGAAAAATCACTTCCAAAGGAGACAAGTCTGATTTGAAAGTTTTAATTATATGGATTGTTGTTGGAAGAGACAGAACAACAGATACTTTCATAATAAATTTATGGAAATGTTAGGGAAAAAATACCCTGACGCTATTGCTTTTTTGAGAGCACTGTTTGTTTAGGATGAATCTACTAAAAGCCTTGTTGAACAAATTTTTTAACTCCTATGCCATATGCCAAATCAGTTTTAATAACTGCCTCAAAGAATGTTCTCAGCATTAAATGAGCTAGCTTTGTTAAGGGCTTATATGACTGATATTTTAGTAAAAAATAAATGGTGCATTTTTAAAATTATTGCATCAAAAAGTCCACCTTTATTTGCCCATTTGGTAGTTTGAGGGTTTTTTTGGGGAGTGGGGAGTAGTTGATAGATTTTCTTACTTGAGAAACAGTCCATACTATTGGGCATATGTATGTATGTATGTTTGTTTTACATTTTTATTTATTTATTTTTATGTGGTGCTGAGGATCAAACCTAGTGCCTCACACGTGCTAGCAAATGCTCTACTGTTAAGCCCTAGCCCCAGCCCCCATGTGTGTTAAATCTTTACAGAAAAGATTTAACAGAAAAATTACTGACTTGAATTGAGAAAAAAAAAAAATAGCTTGTTAAGGGAAGAATGACTTTGTATATAAAAACAGCATGCCTCCCATTTTTAAAAAGATGTGGCTATAAATAGCAATTTTGCCATGGCAATGGATAAAAAGATCAGGCTTCCCAAATTTGATGGGTCTCATACAGAACATCTGAATCCCCTTGCTCATCCCCTAAATCTTCTTTCTTAGTCTCTGATTTCAATAAATAGTACAACCATTCATCAGGTTGTTTGTGCTTAAAATTAAGAATTTGTTTGATTTCTCACATTCTACATCCAACTCATCAACCAGTACCGTAAACTTGCCTTATAATTATATTCTGAATTCAGCCATTTACCACCTTCAGTGCTGCCACTAAGACACCATCATTTTTTATTGGATCATAGCCGCATACTCATCATTTACTCCTATTTTTCCCTGCTTTCTCAAGAAAATTTCCCCCTTCAAACATAATACCAGCCAGAACCATCATTTCAAATTTTTATGTTATGTTCCTTCCATACTTAAAACTTAAAATAGCTTCTCTATGCACACATAATAAAACCCAAATCCCTTACCATGACCTTCAAGATGGTATACTCTGGCCACTGCCTATTCTCCAACTTTATCTAGTTCTCACCCATCTAATTGCTTCTCTATTTCTGTCATGTGCCAGGCTTTTTCTAGTCTGTAGCAGAGATATGTTAGTTGTCTCTAAACTTTCCTCCATTTTTTTTGTAGTGATAAACATGGATACATGACTGCCTAGAATAAAGACTATATTTTCCAGCCTTCCTTGTAGTAATAGTGATGGCCAGTGTAATATTAGCAGATATATCATGTGACACCCTTGAAGAATTATTCTTAAATGGCACCTGGTACACCCTTCAATCCTTTGCTGCTTTTTCTGTATTTTGTACCCTGGAATGAGATGGCCTGAAATTCTAATTTGAATTCAGACCATTTGCAAGTACTCTTACCCTAGGGATTGGCAAATCCTTAAACTGGTGGAAATCAGGATCCTTCTGAGTTTATGGATAAAAACACTATTCTAGCCTTAAATTCCTTACCTTCAAGTTTTGATATGGAAAGAAAGTAACCTTTTATCTCATTAAAGCCCTTAATTGGGGCCTCGTACTAAACTGATAACTCCATTTTAGAGTCTTTGCGCTTGCTATTTATTGTCTTTCTGCCTGATATGTAATTTTTCAGTCTTCTCTGTGGCTGACTCATTCTTTTCCTTCAGGTCTTTACTCACACATCATCTCTGACAGGCCTTCGTCGGCCAATGTATCTAAGGGTAGCTGTCTTCCCATTTATTCTCTATCATACAAACTTCTATAGGGATAATTAGACAATTTGTAAAATACTAGCTAGAAAAAAACAGTGCTAAACTAATGGGATATCCCTAGTTTCCAGCCCTTGATAATGAAGATGTATTATCTTTTTCTGGGAAACCTATAAGGTTATTAGAGAAAGAAAGGAAAAACAAAGCTTAATTGGTGAAGCATACTAGCAAATCAAAAGACTAGCAATACATTTAGGGTGGAAAGTCTCTCTAAATAGTCTGATTTATTTTGTATTTCACCAAACTTGAATTTCTTTGTCTAAAATATAAGAATCTTCAGCTTTGAGTGAAAAAAAGTTTAATAGTGCCAGTGCAGTGGTACATGCCTATAATCACAGTGTCTTGGGAAGCCAAGACAGAATTACAAGTTCAAAGACAGCCTAAGCAACTTAGTGAGACTCTCAAAATAGAAAATAAAAGGGTTTGGGGATGTAGCTCAATGGTAAAGCACCCCTGGGTTCAATCCCCAGTACCTAAAAAATAATAGTAAGTCAAACTTAAGAATGACAAAAATGTGTTACTAATTTAATCTTCAACTGTTATTTTAAGAAGTAATTTTATCTTGATAGTACTGACAAAAGTTCACAGAAGCAATATTTGGGAGAGTATAAACTGGCAGGATACTTCTAGAGTACATTTTGGCAGGATATGTCAAAAGTCTTGAGTGTATGTTTGACCCAGTAATTCCTTTTCTAGAAATATATCATAGAAAATAAGGACAGCCTGGGGATGAGACTTGGTATAGAGTGTTTACCTGGCAAGTGTGAAGCCCTAGGTTCAGTGCCCAGCACCAGGGGGGGAAATGAGGGAAATAAGGATGTGTGTAGTAATTTGATTGCAAGAGTGTGCTTTATTCCATTGTTTATTAGTTAACTAGATTAGGAAACATACCTACAATGAATGATTCTCAACCATTAAAAATAATATGGAGAAAATTTTACTGATACAATAAATGGTGAAGTGTAAAGAAAAAGTTGTAAAATATTTTAAATTTTAAATCTTTGTCTCATAAAGAAGGCCTAACAATATACACAAGGTATTTTATATCAACATTGCCCAAGTAATTTAGAAATCTTCCCCATTCTCATAGTTTTAAAATTTTCATACAATAAAATTTGTATAATACTAAGTAAAAGGCTGCTTTTCTGTTTTAAGAAACACGTATGTGTTTCTGGGACTAGTACTACATACACAGTTGTCAAGCCTAAAACCTTTTCCATATGCCCCCAACTAAACCAATTCCCATATATTTTATCTTCTAAAATCCATCCTTCCTTCTTTTTTCCTACAACCATTCTCTTTATTATATACTCATAAACCTCCATCTGAACCTTTTTTTTTTTTTGTACTGGGGATTGATTCTAGGAGGACTTAACCCCCTGAGCTACATCCCTACCCCTTTTTTTTTTTTTTTTTTTTTTTTTTGGGGGGGGGGGGGTCGAGACAGGTTCTAAGTTGCTTAGGCCCTCGCTAAGTTGATGAAGCTGGCTTTGAACTTTCGATTCTCTTGCCTCAGCCTGGATCTGCTGGAATTATAGGCATGCACCACCATACTGGGCTCCATCTGAACTTTCAAAAGAGGTTCTTTTAAACTGGACTTAATGCATTGAATTTTATCTTTCTAGTCTGCCAGACTACCATCAGATTTAGATTTCTACTGTTCATGTCTTAGGAGTATCTACTGCATAAAATTCTTATAATGATGCCTTAT